GTGTGGGTTCACCTCTCGTGGTCCTGGAAGGATGTGGGAGGTCCTTGGACTCCCCACAGGGCAGGGAACCCGGTCTGCTCTTCAGGCTGATGAGAGAGGGGGAGTTGATTGGGGGAGGGGGATGGATATGGGAAGCGGTGGCAGGGAAGAGACAGAAATCTTTAATAAATAAATAAATAATAATAAAAAAGAAAACCTGTGGATTAATTCTAGACTAATGTGGTTTGATGGACCAAGAGCTCCTGAGAAGTCACCTTGAACACCCCTCAAATATTACTTTTCCCAATAAACAGCAGGAAGCAGTTTGGAGAAGAACTATGCCCATATTCCCAAACATTGTATTTAAAGGGGGATGTATTATAGGGAATTGCATTGGTAATGGATCTTGGTTTATTGATACAAATTTAAGGTCAATTAATTGTATGTTTGTATGTATATTTCTGTTCTTGATTAAGGTATTGTGTTTGTTCAGCTCATTTACAAATGTAATGTATAATTATAAAATGTAGGTTAAAAGAGAGTCATCTATAATAGTCAAGCATGTAGTCATGTTAATCAGCTTTTCTAGATATAAAATTCAGTTAGCTAAATATTCTTCATGTCTTTAAGAGACCTTCAAAATATCACATTTAAATGCTTTAATAACTTAGGACTTTCCATGACATGAGACACATCTGCTCCTGGCAGCACCAAGCTACTTCAAGAGGAAGATAAGCATCAAGAGGCTCCTTGTGAAGTTGATTAGCCATTTGGGCAAGAAACTGCTATTGCCTATACTGTTTGACTGGACATGCAGTACCCACAGAGAAAAGACTGCTGAACTTTTCTAAAGGTGAGATTGTCCTTAAGAGTTCCTGCTTCATGAAAGAGTCTGCAAGACATTCTGCAGGGCACAGAAGAAAGTAACTGACAAACAGCCAATACAGGCAGAACTGTCTTTGAAATTTCCTGCTTCATGAAAAAGTCTGCTGGGTACTATGGGCCTGTAGGCTGAATATGGATGTCTCAACTGTAGAGAGAACTTTGGGTGACTATCCATGTAGCGAGATGTCTCTGTTAATTCTAGAGTTTTGGAAGTCGCTTACAATGCACACCTTGTTTACTTAGGTAATGTTATATCCTTCTGGAGTTTTTGACCGAGTTGAAGAATTTATAGTTATAGTTTTCCTTAATTATGATAAAATAAAGTAGATATAAATATTGTAACTGTTATTTTTGCTTAATACTTGTTTTGTTATATGTAATTTTACTATGTTAAAGATAATAATCTCACTTTTTATTTAAACAGAAAAGGGTAGGTGATGTGGTATTCCCTCTGTATGCTGTGAATACCATTGTTGAATAAAGAAACTACTTTGGGTCTATAGCAGAGCTATAGGGGAACAGAGCTAGGCTGGTAAAACTAAACAGAATGCTGGGAGAAAGGAGGCAGAGTGAGAGAGAAACCATGTAGGCATGCTGGAGGCAGAACTTTAGCCTGTAAGTCACAGCCATGTGGCGATACACAGATCAATTGAGATGGGTTAAATTAATATGTAAGAGTTAACCAATAAGAAGCTAGAGCTAATGGACCAAGGAGTGATTTGATTAATATAGTGTCTGTGTGATTATTTTGGGGGCTAAGTGGCTGGGAAATAACAAGAGGCTTCCTTCAACAATTAAATGAATAAATGAATCACTTTAGTAATAACAGTGAGATAATTTTTGAGTCTTGGTTCTAAGCACAATATATGAGTTCTATAACTCATTTAATCCTCACACTGATGCTCCAAAATAGGTCTGCCTTTATTCCCATTTTGTAGAGCAGGAAACCATATATCAGAGAAGCTGTTTCTCACCTTAAGGTGTATAACTAGCATGCAGCAGAACTTGAATTAATAGTTTGTAAGGGAAAACAGGAACATCCAGGATGTCTCTTGACCATTTGTGATGTCAGTGTTACTAAAGATAAGCCAAGTAGTCTGTGAAGCAGATCCAAGGTTCTTTATTTTTTGTTTTCACGTCCTTTTCCCAGAGGTCCTTCCTCAATCTCCTCTATTATCCCTACTGACACATATATACATTACTTCTTCCTTCATACTGGAATTGTACTCATTGTTTAAAATTCAGTTAAAATCCTACTTGTTTTTACAAAGCCTGCCTTATATACTCTCACTAGAAAAGCCATCCCTCTTTGAAACTCCTAGCTGTCATAGACCATACTAATTAATTGGTACTTGAAAACTGCACAGCACTGTGGTGAAGATCCAGGCTGCAGAGTCAAATAGCAGAAGGTCAATTTAAATCCCAGCTCTGTCAATTTACTAGGTGTATGATGTGGGTAAGTTACTTAATCTCTCTACCAAGGAGTATGATCTTTGAACTGGAATGAGAATTAAAGTCCAAGATAGACGAGAAGATAACAAGAGAGTCTGTGGCTGCCTTCAATGAATTCAAGTTTCCAAACCCAGACAAATTACACCTGAAGCTACTGAGAATTTACAGATGTCGTCATAGTGACAGTCTTAATAGACTTTGAGAAACTGTGGCCAGGGGAAGAAGTATGAGAAGCAAAGAAGCACATAGCTTATTTTTTATGAAGGTGGGTAGTGACAGGGTGAATATAAATCTTGGAAACACGAGACCAGTGAGTATGGCATTGGTCCTTGGCAAAAGTATAGAACACACTATTAAGCAGGTCTTTTGTGAGCTTTAGAGAGAGAAGAAATAACTAGAGGTAAGCATGAGCTCACAAAAGCAAGCCATGCCTAACTAAGCCCATTTCCCTTCTGAAATGGTATCTACAATGGGAAGATGATGGGAACACCATGTCCTAGGGTATCTACATTTCAGCAGGACTATTTGGAAGGTCCTTTACATAGTTATAAAGATGGAAATGGGAGCTAAAGCTTACATGGATTGTTTCAAGTTTAACAAGCTGATGAAGAGGGGACTCTAAGGTTAGTTTACCCTATACATTGTCTCATTTGATGCATTCATTAGATGTGCTAATAAAAACTTACTAGTGTAGAAAATGTATTCTCTTTTATATGTATAGAATACAGAGATACATGAATGCACACATATCTGTAGAGTACACCTCTGGTCATATGGTACCAACTTCCTCAAATACTCATTTAAGGGTGTAATAATGAAAGAAAAGTTTGGGAAAAGGTATAGATTGAGATACACAAGGAGATGGACTAGCTCACCATGGAAGTTAAATATATAGTCAATTGTACAAATACACAATGAAGCACACAATAAGAGTTCATGCAAGAAATCGCAGAGGGTTTAAATTAAGATACAAACTCCACGCAGATCAGTTTTATTCCTAAAAGACAGCAAGCACAGAAAAAGACCTGGAGACCATATCTTCTGACGCATGACATAGAAGACTTAAGGATGCTTCTCTGAGCAGGGATGGATTGCTAGAGCTTCTAAATGCCTGCTGGGTAAAAGAGGAATTAGAAATAGTTTGCATGGTGCCAAAGTTTATTTAATCCAAGGACAATGATTTAACAATTAGGGAATGGCCAAATATAGACTAAACAGCTTTGCATAGGGCTGAGTTTTCCAGATTATCTTGAGGCTTTTTCTGCACTGAGCAAGAGGATGGATATCTTTTCATGCTAACGTTCAGATTTTATGATTTCCTAGTTATTTGAAAATATGGACATTGAAATGATGGCTGAAGATAAGCCTAGACCAAACATCCTTTTGATTTCAATGCCAAAATCCTACATACGTCACAGTTGTTTAAGAAATAGCTCACTCTTGAGCCAAATTGGGTGACAATATTTAAATGCCTAATTCTCCTGGGCTCTGGTATTTTGTATTGCCCCCTCTATATTGATTTTTATCTTGCATAAAAAGACACAGAGGAAAATGTCAAAGGATAAGTTTCAGAGATTTAGTTATAGAAATGTTCAGATCTGTTTCATGAAAAAATACTGGTTTGGAGCTAGTGAGCAGGGAAAGCATACTTTCTCTCCCTCTCTTTTTTGTTCCACCCTCTCCTTCCCTCAAACCCTCTCTCTTCGTTTCTTAGATCTTCAACTAAGCAGAATAAGGATTGCCAAAGGGGGAGAGAGAGAAAGGGTATTAATTTTTGGTGCAATGGTAAACAGCACACTGAGCATGAAACCTGTTGAATGAGATGATGTTTAAATTTTGTGAACATGAAATTGAGAACAAAAATCATAAGCATCATATCCTTTAAACTGTGTCTCAATAAAAATATCAGGAAAGGGGGATCAGGGCCTCAAGTGGGAGTCAACATAGTTATTTTACAGGGGGCTGAGCACGCTGCTAACACTTCTTGGTTGGCTTTTCACAGCAAACAGCTATTTGCTTTGCTTTTTACCAAGCACTGCTTGGCAGCATCTCGACACTGTACTGTTGCTAGAAACCGGACTTCTAGCAGCTGCCATGGAATCAAACTCTGTTCACCTCCCTTCTCTCTGCTCTTGGCCAAATGTTACTTGCTCTTTCACAAAGTGACCATTATGCCCCTGCAACCTATTAGGTGCCCTTTCATTTCCATTTGGTGCCTAAGTCCTCATTGCAATCATAGAAGTGCCTATTAGGACCACGTCTGCACCCTAGCTCACTATAACTTTGCCAACATTTGAACATGTTTGTTCTCCATGTCCTTTCTCTCGAGTAATGTCCATGTCTGCAGTTTTCTCCCCCTGGGACAGAGGAGTTAGAAACATATCAGACCCATTTCCTGAAAGTCCAATTTCTCCTTGAAACAGAAAGGCCTTTCAAATGTGGCTTTCTGGGTTTTCCAATTTGCTGGTGGGTGGATCTGGAGTGGGCATCCCATTTGCACATCTGGCGGGGATGCCTTCCAGATTTTCCTTGTGACTCAGGATCAGTTTCTGAGTGCTGGGCGGGGTAAAAGCTCCTGAAGTTGCTGTGAGGCACCTCCCCCTGTGAGCAGAGCTTGGTACAGCCCAAATAGTTTTCAGGTTAAGAAAGCCAGAATCTTTGTTCCGCTGCACTGGCTGAGCAGACTCACTGGGGTTACCTGGCTAAGAGCAGCAGCAGCAGCCGCAGCAACAGCAGCAGCAGCAGCAGCAGCAGCAGCAGCAGCAGCAGCAGCAGCAGCAGCAGCACCAGGGCTCCTGAGAGAACTCAGGTGAGTAGAGCGTGTGTCTATAGATTTAGTTTAAAATTTTATTTTCTGAGATGTAGCATCTAAGAGACTCAAAGGAACTTCAGATTTAGTTATTCAAACTTTGCGTCTTTGAATGTTATGGCTTATCTGGATCTAACTTGTGTATGCGTGTGCATATGTACATTAGAAGCAGTTTTAAAACTTCAAAAAAGGGGGGGGGGAATTTTAGGGAGCTGGATGCAGTGATGTCGGTAGGGCAGCCGAGCAATTTTCTATGTTATGTGCTGTTCATAAACACTTGGTAAACAAGGACAAATCTGGGAGAAGAGTGGGAGGAGAGAAATTAGATGGCTGGCAGTTTCTGCTGACCCAGAGTTATAGGTGAAGTAGTGAAATTCAGGCACAATCTTGGAGGCACACTGTGTGCCCACAGCCTGTAATCCCTTGAAGTGGGGTGCATGGGCCATGGGCTCCTGCACAATGGAGAGTGGCAGCCGGGGCTATTTTAACTCCTTGTCTGCACAGTCGGGAGACCTTCCTGCTCTGGTGACAGGTTGATCTTGGCTATTCTATTATCAGCCCCTGGGCCTAGTTTAGTTTCCCTCTGATTCTATCTTTGGTTTAAATTTTGAATTGCAGTCAAGGTTCCATCCCCCACCCAACCCTACTGCACTCTTGCTGGGGCTTAACTGGACTGCCTGATCAGGGCTGCCTTCAGCCCTGGTCAGGGAAAGGGAACTGCCACACATTGCAATGGAAACAAGTGGGTGTGAGGATTTCGAACTAGAAGTTTGGTGAAAAGCACATCGGAAAAGTCAGACAATTCTACTGTTCTGCCTGCCACAGCAAAATGCATCCTGGTTTCTATTAATGTTTTATTAAACTTCAGCAAATGCTTCATTTATTAATCTTTGTTGTGAAATTACAGGCTCTTTATGATCTGAATGAAGAAACAAAATTGGGGTGGGGGTTGCTAATTAACTCTCTCGTTCCCTGGGTGTTTCTCATTTGTGTGTGTATGTGTTTATGCGTTTGAGTGTGTGTGAGTGTGTGTGTGTGTGTGTGTGTGTGTGTGTGAGACACATTCCTGCATGCATGAATGCAAGCACATACACTCATGTGTACACATATGCACTCATGTGTATGGGTGTGCACAAATGTGTGAGAATACTTTGAGTTTCAACAGAATTCTTTATTCATCATTAGTGCTCTCATTGGTCCAGGGGACAGCTTAAATATTTACATAGTCAGGAATAGGTTAAAAAACAGACTTTCTATATAGCCTTGCAAGTTTTCATTTCCTAAATTAAAAGCAGAAAACAGCCCCCTTGTGACCCCAAAACAGTTACTTTGATTAGCCTTGATTTGAAATCATATTTGCCTTCTGACAGCTTGCACTTCAAAAACAAGACCCCTACGTGAATTCTTGCAAAAAGAAGACAATGAGAATGTTCAAAAGAAATGTCTTGCTTCCAGTTTTGTGTCTTACTACCACAGTTCTTCTTTCTTGTTTCAAAATAGAATCTTGGTGAAAGAGTCGGTAGGTTTCAGTTTTAGTGGCAACTCTGGTACTATGCAACCCTGGTAAAGCCGCTCCACTGTACAGTGAAAGAAAGCCGTTGTACGAACTGGCTTCTAAAAGTCCTTCCAGAAAAACATTCTATAAAAATCAGAATTACATTCTCAAAGGACTGTAAAATTAGACTTTTAGGATAAGCTTAGTCAGCCAAGAGAGCAAGTCAGCCAAAAATGGGAGATGGAACAGGGAGTAAAGAATGACAGAGGGGCCATTTTATATAGGTCTTTTAAATGTCAATGTGTGTTTTATTTTAAGCATGTGATCATATTTCCTGTTTCTAAGAAATGAGATTTAATTTGCTAAAATTAAACACTCCCTAATACAACTGCTATATGTTAATGTATTTTTAACAATCAAAAAGTACACTCACATACTTTATTTCATTAGCTCTTCCAAATAATGCCCTGAGATGCGCAGGGCAACCATCATATTCCGGTTGTGCCTATGGGGAAAATGAGGGTGAAACATGCTATCTAAAGTAAGTGAGGGCATTGGGGGGGGGGCTTGATTGTGAATCTCCTGACTACGCATGATCTTGGTATGATTTTGATTTTCTTTCTTTGAACACAGTCTTCTCTCCAGATAGAGTAAATCTGTCCTGTGGAAGACAGGAGAGTTGATCAGGAGAGCGTTAGGCTCCTTTTAGATCCTAGAATGTCTAGCCAAAACCTCGAATCTCAACAGCCACATCTAAGTTCCCTGGCAGATATGTAACCACAGATGCAAGATACGATTCTACTTCTGCAAAAATGGAAAGCACCGGTTTCTGTGTAGCATGTGGATGCTGAATTTTATTCTTCCCATCAAAGCCCAACGAATGTCCCCCATCACCCCCAGAAGTGGGGATAAGATTATATAGAGTGGACAGAGTTAGGTCTCCTGTACTCAATTGCCTGCCCCCTCCCCCCCCCGCTTTTTGTTTTACCTCTAAATTTTGCAGAATAAAGGAAAGAAGGGAGCCAGAGGCAGTATGATCAGAGCCGTACTTTCTTGCCTTATGCCCTCATCTACTCACTTGAATCCAAAGAAATTTGTGCTCACAAATCTGAACTCTTTTTATCAATGTTGTTTTCAAATTAATTTGGTGTTTGTTTTAACTCTGATCCACAGTTAAAAAAACAAACGATTTTCCACTAAGAATCTGCCTGGCTCCTCAAAGCTTCGAGTCCGACGAGCTGCAAAGGCCTTTTCTCCTAGCTGTAGTCTTGTGTTCCACGTGGCAGGCTCCCTCCATTTTCCCCTGGCTGTTTCCAACTTCCCACATGCTGAGCCTGCCCCTATCCATTGTCTTGGTAGACAGTGTCCCTCACGTTCTTTTTTTCGACAGTGGATCTGAATTCTAATAATTCTGCCTAGGGCGATTACCACAATGATAAGCCTGCAGTTTGTTCTGCCTAGCCAAAATCACCGCTTGCCTTCAGCCCTCAAGTCGCTCTTCAGAATGGTTCTTATTCCAGAGGTTACCTAGAGATTTGGGGGTTTTAGTAAAAATCTCCAGCTTTTATCTTTGTCTATCACCTTTCCTAATGTGTGATCTTAATTTAATGGCCATTTCCTCCATACCACCACCTGGTGCAGTGGAAGAGTAAGAAAGAAACATTCCTGTCTCCGCACACCTCTGCTCGGACAGAGAAAATCGTGCATAATTATGCCAGTCTATACATTTCTGGGTTTCACATTTTCTGAGGGCTAGCTAATGAGCCTTTGGATAGAAAGGGTTTGGATTCTCACATGATCATTAAACCATGGAAATAAAGAACCTTTTCAATACCCACCAAGGCAATAAATTCTAGGCAGAATTCCTCAAAGTTGGGCATCATGTTTGCTTTGGAGGATTTTTCTCATTTGAACTACAAAATCCTTTCTCTAAAAAATACAGTGGCAAAAAGATGAAGTGTGGTATAAGGGAAAACCACACACCAGTCCTGGTATTTCACAGGCTGGGGTTTGAATCGGTCTTGCCAGTTTCTAACTGCTGTTTCTCTGAGTTGCCATTTTTGAGAGTACAAAATAAAGAACACAGGCTGTGTCTTACAAATCATGGCCACTGCAAATGAAGAGCATGCTAGATAAATGGAACAGTGCACATTTCAAATAATTTATCACAGAAACACTGATTTTTCTACTTAAGACAGTTATCTATTTGAAAAATGTTGTCTGTACAATGTTGAAGTGTTGAACGAGGTGCCTAAGAATAAGAATTTTAATGCATATTTTGCAACCACGGGGTGTTTTCTACTTATTTAAAATTGGTTAACACTAACCATCTCAGTAGTTACAGCTATAGCTTAAGGGAGAAGAATACATGTCTCTGGTCTCATGATAAAAATCCTGATATACAAAGATATCAAGGTCATAGAGCAAATGGAAAACAGTTGCCTTATTATTTAGTCAGCAATGGGGTCAATTCTACTGCATAAATCAAACAGGATTTATAGCTATAATTGTACCCCCAGTGAAAGTTCAAATACATGTTTCTCCATGAGTCACTAAAATGCAAGCATCTTCATGCAAAAGGCATTCCCTTTATTAAGATTTGACCCATTAATACCAGCTATACCCTTTGTCTCTGAAATAACCTATTTGGAACATAGTGTGGTTTATTATTTCTTTGGTTTCATTTTAGGTGTGTGTGTGTGTAAAAACAGCTTATGAGTGCCAGTTCTTTTCTTACACTTTGTAGTTCTCGGGGGATTGAACTCAGGTCACCAGTCTTGCCAGCAAGTGCCCTTCTCCAATGAGCCATCTCGCCAGCCCTAATTTATTTTTGTCCTTAAATCAAACATAATTTTGTTGAATTGATGCCGCTTCTGTGTTTAGACAGGCTCTCTTTGTAATAAATTCCTCTTGCAAGCTTTTGTGAGTCTTACTATTTGACTGATTTGCAAAGGAGACTTTGTGAGAGCACATGGCTTTCCTGGGCAAGAAATACCCATTTATCCAGAACGTTCAGGCAGTAGGAGGTTCTGGCAAACTAAATGTCCTAATTGCCTCAGACTGCCCCATATTTACAGCACCCAGTCTCTGGCAATCCACCAAATCTTCTAGGGAAAGCAAGAAGCTCAGGGTTATTTGCTGTAACTTTGAACACACATGAAAATTAGAGTTCTTTTGTAATAGGCTCTGAAAAGGAGCCTGGGCAAACACTCAGGTTGGCTCTGATGTTTAACTGAGAATTATTACTGATGCCACAAATGCTTCCAAATACAATGAAACACATTAATATCTAAAACAAGGGAGCAGACTTTAAGCTGGTTACCCGAAAGCACACGGTGTTTTGTAGCGTTCCACACTCCTTAATTTGAAAAAGAATTGGCAATAAATAAGGCTCTGGAAAACATTGTGGTTATGTTCAATATCTTAATATTTGAATTAAGAGAAAGGACAAGTTTCTTACACATTTCTTGCAGATAACTGTGCCATAAAATAACATTGAGAAATTAGATTCAAATATTTATGGTTTTTAATCTGGGAAACTGTTTCATCATGACACAGTGCACGGCAATAATAAAGGACATGCAAAGACCTAGCAGACAGGTATTATTGACATTACTGCTTTTATAAAAGAATAAATGCCACAGGAGTGCCTGGGAGAGGGTTTGCTTGGGGAGCAACGTGATGGCTGTAAAAGCATGGAGACTGTGGTAGCACACATGCAGAACTCCAGTGCACTAATACAGCCAATTTCGGGCTTTGCTTTTTGTTCTTTCTTCTTGAAAATTTCATTCATTCTTTTTTAGAACTCTGAACCATAGGGTTTTTTTTTTGGTTTTAATTGTACTGGGTTCATAAAATCATGGGAATAAAGGTTTAATGCAGTTGACACCATAAAAATTTCACAACATCTTTTCATTTACTGTGACATAGAAAGATCTATTATCACTACAAAGCTATTTAAAATCAAATTTTCCTTTTGAATTATCTTCATACAAACCAATTATTAAGGATATTTAAGTGCAGTCTTCCAGATTTTGTATAAAAAAACCACTATATTAATTTTGTTTAGCTAGGTGGCATTTCCTTTTAATGTTTTTTTTTTCAAAGAAAAGGAAGAAATAGTGTATTTTATTGCTGCGGGGTAAAAACCTATAGTCCATCAAATTAATGTAATTGAATTTCAAGTCTGCCTTTTGATTTTAAAATCTGCAAATGATTTTACACTTTGAAGGGGAAAAAAAGACCACATAATCTTTATATCTTTTTATGTGTGTTTGGAGGCCATCTGCTGAGCTCTGTTTCTCACATTAGCCTCCTTGGCCAATAGTAAAACAGACGAGCTCTTTAAATGATAAAACAAGAGTGGTTGTGTAAAAGGACTTGTTAGAATTGAAAAAGCTATTTCCACCCCATGCATCAAGGGCACAGCTTTCCCGGACACTGACTCATTCCGAACATGGTAAAGTGACTCTCTTGCCTTTATGGTCAAGTTTCAACTGAACTTTTCTGAGCTCTTCCATGTGAGTATAAATGGAAAATTACCTTTTACATTTCAATGACTTATGCTTAGCTGACAATCTTCGCATCTCTTATTTATTTTCCCATGAAACTGTTAAAGTACATGTTGTCCCATTTGGCAGATAAAAAAAACCGAGGTTTTCAAATGGTTAAGTGTTTGCCCAGGGCCTAATATTTAGCTGAACTTTGACTCTTCTGTTCTTGAACGTTGTGTCTTTGCCTCAGTCCGCAGGCTCTAGGAGGACGCCACTGCAATGACTGACATTTGTGTAATTCCGGAGAATCCTTGAAAGACTTGAGAAGTTCCTCCAAGTAATAATTTTTGTCATTCTAGACATAGTTGGATAACATGGGTCCTCCTCTGAAGCTCTTCAAAAACCAGAAGTACCAGGAACTGAAGCAGGAATGCGTCAAAGATGGCCGGCTTTTCTATGACCCCACCTTCCTACCAGAGAATGATTCTCTGTTTTTCAACCGGCTGCTTCCAGGAAAGGTTGTGTGGAAGCGTCCTCAGGTAACTCATTTTTCTGTCTCCTTGATCTACCTCTGATTCAAAACTCTACCTTACCCATTTTTTTTTTACTCACATTGACCTACTCTTTAGAAAAATTGAAAGCCAGTCTTCTTTCTTCCTTTCTTTCACTATTTCTCTCTCTTTCTCTCTGTTGAGTTATAATTAACAAATAGAAAATATACAGATGTTTTCATATGCCTATGCAATTTAAGATGACTAACATAAATAAGTTGACATATCCATTATCTCACACACAGGTAGAATTAAAGCAGGCTTTAGCTTGAAGAGACTAAAAGTGTAGTCAATTAGTCATTTAAAACGTGCAACAGCAGAAAAAGAAATATACTATGCTTATATGTTTAGAACGTCATTTGAGTAAACATTGCAATCCGAAAAGAAACTATACTCTTGTCTCTTTAGTTAGATGCCTGTCATACTAATTTAAGGATAATCTCAGATCAATGAGGCCAATATCTTTTTATACAGTGAGCATCAGTGAAATAATTTCTATGTAGAGAAGGCAGAGCTTGTCTTGGGGGAGGGAGTCTTGTGAACTGTTTATTAGATCTTATCCACAGTATTAGCCAATGGGATTTACATATGACTTCAGCCTTTCAATGCTCATTAACATTAACTACTCTCTCACAGTAGGGTTCCACAACTCTTCATAAGCTGTATATGAATTAGAGCTCCGTGTATACTGTGATATAGTGGTATAGTCTGGAGAGTAATTAGCAATTTTGTTTTATCAAGCGTTATGGCTAGACAGAAGGACAATCTATTAAAGCTCCTTCCCAAAGATGATGTATATGGGCCATAGTGAAATAACGTAAAGAGCAAGGACCTGAAGACTTCGTGTGTAAAGAGATGTATTTTTATAGATGGCTATAAAACACATTAGTTACCAACTCAATGTTTTCATCTTTAAGGAGTCAGCAATTATTTTGTTGTAATTTCTACCAAATAAACTCATAAAAGGTATAAAGAATTGCTTTGCTTTAGTTCATACACATTGCCACCAGGTGGTGCCAAGATACATTGACTTCAATGTCTTTTTTTTCTGTTATACTTGAAAAAAGGGATGGAACCAAGTGAAGTCTTGAAGTCTTTTCTTTAATATTATGCTTTTTAGGAAGAATCAAAGGCTTTAGACCTAGATGTCCTAGTGACTAGTGTTGACTCACATGAATGGCAACCATTAAAAGTATGAGACTGGAGCTTGGAAGTGTAACTCGGCAATAAAGCAGAGGTTCAATCCCCTGTATCAAAAATAAGAAAAGAAAGAAATTACAAGGCTGGGAGAAATCTCCATTTATAAGCCTGTAAGTTGTTGACACCTCTGCAGATGACTTTTCTTACCTGCAATAAAAATCTGGGAAAGATGAGTAGAATTCATTAGCTGGTGTTTTGGAATACAAAGATGTAAGATTTCCTACTTCTTAAAAATATTTGGAGAGATAGATAGATAGATAGATAGATAGATAGATAGATAGATAGATAGACAGACAGACAGATAGATAGATAGATGATAGATAGATCGATCGATCTTGTCAGGGTACGGAACGTATGAATGGAGGTGCTAACAAGTGGCAGAAGTAGTTGACAAGAAAGCCTGGAATTGAGAGAAGTTTATTGGGTAGGTAAAGAGTAGTTTGAAGATGCAGGTGAGAGAATGGTTAATGGGGGTGAAGTCTTAGAGGAGACGGAAAGAGATCTATCTGGTGGGTGGCAAAATTGGAAGCCAGCATGAAGCCATTTCCCAGATGTAAGTCAAGTAGACAGCATTTCCTGTGCTGGCGTGTCTTAGATGCATCTTCTTTCCTCAGTTTTAGCTTAGTTCTTTGTTCTTTGTCTTCTTTGTCTAAATCCTGTAGAATTCATCCTGGATTTTCAGGGAAGGGGAAAAAAACTTAATCATTATGGCACACATCTGTTTTTTTTTTTTCCTCAAAGGCAAACAATACTCCTTCTAGAGTAATGTTCAATGCTTAGAGAATGTATGTCTGGACAGATGGAGAATGAACACAAAGAGAGGGGTAAAAGGAATTAGCATTTGTGACATGCCTGGTATGGATTGTATTCTTTTTTGAAATGGCCTATACATTTTTGCACTTCATCCTTATTGATCATGGCTTAGAAAGGTAGGTATGTTACAATTTCTTTTGTGTAGTTCATTTTTTTTATTTAAAAAAACAAAGGCAGCTGGGCATTTTGGCACTTTAATCCCAGTACTCAGGAGGCAGAGACAGGAAGATCTCTGAGTTTGAGGCCAGCCTAGTCTACAAAGCAAGTTCCAGGACAGCCAGGGTTGCCAAGAGAAACCCTGTCTCAAAAAACCAAAAATAAATAAATAAAATATAAGGAGTCTGCAACATGGCTCATTGTTGGCTAGCTTGGAGACCTGAATTTGGTCCCTGGAACCTACATGGTGGAAGGAGAGAACCAAATCCCAAAAGTTGTCATCTAACCTCCATGTGCAAGCCATACATGTGCCCACCCCCACACACAAATAAACAAATGTGGGGGCTGGAGAGATAACTCAATGGTTAAACACACTGACTGCTCTTCCAGAGGCCCTGGGTCCAATTCCCACCACCGACAGCTGTCTGTGACTATAATTCCAGGGGACCAGACACACATGGCAAAATACCAATGCACATAAAATGAAACTAAATTAAAATAAAAATAAATGTAAAAGCAATACAAGAGTAAAAACAGTAGGTGTTTTGCCTTTCATATTGATGAAGGAACTAGGTCTCCAAGAAGAAGGTAAAGATTCACTCAAGATCCAATCACTGGCAAACTAAGATTTGACTCCAAAGTTCACATAAACTTTCTTTTCTATCATAATACTGCTTGTGTCTCCCTTTATAAACATACACTTTTGTAGCTTCCTTTGTGACAGTGCTTAAATCCATCCTCATTGTGATGGTGCTGCTCTTACATGAATTGATCCACATTCTCTGAACACGATGTGAGAACAGTGTTAATAAAAGGAAGAGGCACTTGAGAGCCTTCCCTAGAACATTCTCAACGCCATCCTTGGTGCAACACACCACTGTGACCTGGGACCAAGCATCCACATCCTGACCCAGACAGTGGACATTGAGCTACAAAAGAGTTAAATAGTATCTTGATGCTGGAAACATGAAATGTTATTTTAGAGTATATAATTAAGAAGCTACAAAAAGTTTTTGAAAAGGGTTAGATCATCATGTGAAAGTAAGGTTCTTGGCTATCAGCTGAGCCTTCCCTGAAAGCTGTGTATTCCAACTAGAATGGAAGGCAAGCCTGTGTTTAAGAACCACGCCACTGTTCTCTGGCCTCCCATCAGGAAAATTGAGCGACAGTTCTAGGCTCCTCTGAATTGACTCAGGAAAATTAGATGGGTCATTGCTTTATTAGGAATGTTGTGGTATTGGTTTTCAGGAAAGTGTCTAGACTTTTTTTCCCATTTGTATACCACATAACCTCAAACCCAACCAACCTTTTAGGTGTTTTTTTTTTTTTGAAAATTTTAAATAGACATGGCATGATAAACCAACTTTCCTCCCACCCTACACTCTAGGTAAGTGATTTGACACTGAGCTTCATTTCCTGGCCCTTCTAAAATTTTTTTATTTTGAGAATAAATTTTGGCTCATTGTTCTTTTGACCCGTATGAAAGTAGCTGGACTACAGGTGTGTGGAAGTAAGTTTGGCATACTTTTTTCCCCTCAGTGTTGAAGTTTAAATTCAGGTTCTTGGATATGCTAGGCAAGTTCTCTACCACTCTTCAACTCTAATCTTGAGGTTTCTATCTATTCTATGTTTCAATGGTATTCCATTGGTATATGCCAAATATCAGTGGTCTTCCAAGGAAGCCACTCAACTTCTTTGACAGACAAGAGTTTGTACCACCTTGTTCCTTCCTATTTGCAAGGTTTCTTTTTTTTTTCATTGTGTGTTGTTGCTTTTTTTTTTTTTTTTTGCAACAGTCTTGTTATATAGCCCAGGGTAGCCTTTTGCTCATGATTCCCCTGGTTCAGTTCTTTCAAGTGCTGGAATCATGGTCCTGTTGACTACATCTGGCCCTGACACAGTTTAAAGGAGCAGTAAATACACAGGAAACATGTTTTAAATTAGCCAGTGGCAGATCAACTATCCACACTCTACAGAGAAAATCTCTGCTTCTTTACTCTTCTACTCTTACAACGATCCAGTGTACCCAGTTTTTCTCCAAACTTTCTGGGCACACAACTATTTTCCATGTGCCCTTTAACTTTCTTTTCCTCCTTAGAACACAACTTTTAATCTTAACAGTTTTTGAGAAGTAAGTTCTACTAAGTTTCAGTATAACAGTAAGTCTGCAGGTAGAAATTTTAATCTGAATTTGCTTGTCAAATTGCCACAGAATTTTTTTTCTCCAGTTCTCTCCAACCACTCCCGCTTTTTCCTGATTGACTCACATCCACTTACAAAAGTGTCCCAGAGTCAAATGCATCTAATCCCTTACTTACATGGAGCAAAGTCTCATGGGAGTTTGCACAGCCAATTGTGGAAGAAGAAAGGACTCCTACACAAGATTTTCTGTCAGGTCTCATGATCAACTTCTAAGTTCTGACTCTACTACCAGTGACTTTTGTTCAGTATTCCTGCATGGCCATGTTGTTACATTATCTGGGTGGGACAGGAAGGTGAAGAAGTTCAAGGTTAAAATTCTGGTCAGAAGACTGACTAGAAAAACCTTATAAAGGAAACCAAACCAAGAATAGTATATAGGCTCTGGTAAAAGATAGCAAGTGAGGGAGTAACACTAGAGGCAATCTTCCATGTTAGTAGAATTCCCATCCACTGGTGGACTATGACACTTGGTACTGTAGTTTGGACTTAGATGACTCATAAATTTTCTCTTATCCTCAGAGATTATGTGTTGCTACAGAAACTGATTTTACGGTGTTTTCTATTGTCTACACAATCTGGTAAAGCTGAAGAGACTCGTATCCTTTTTCCAGATCCTA